TTTCCCTAAAATATTGCTTTGTCATATGTATCCTATTGGTTTCTTAAGATTTAATTTCCTCCATGTTTTATTTCATGTCTTTATAAATCAGCCCTTCTCCACCTGTCAGGCATCTGTACTATATAGATATAAAACTCTGCAAATGAGAAGATTAAAAGATTAATAAAAGAACAGAGTACCAATGTCCCATGCATTGCACATATTTTATCTGTTCAATGGCAATACATGTTACAAAAAAATTTGGGTTATTTTTAACTTTTTATAAATATGTCACAAGAAATTATTAAAGTTCTCTTCCTATATGAAGGTATACACAGACGTGCCACTGGAATGGGTCCCTTTAGGTATGTCAAATACAGCAATGGGTTACAATTTCACCAAGGTAAAATGTCAATGGGTTACAATTCACCAAGGTCAAATGTCAATGGGTCAGTAATTTTCATCTTTCGATTAGATATTTGCATATATGCTGTTTTATGACTATCGTTATGAATCGAATATAAATGTCAAAAATTGCATATGTGATTACTGAGAAATATATGAATGGTTACGACACGGGTCAGGATTTTCACAAGACTTCAATACATGAATGGGGGAGGTTTCAAATCCCAGCAGCACGTCTGTACCCGAAGTTGGGACCCCCACCGTGCAAAAAATGTAGGCATGAGATCGATAACAATGTTATTTTTCATATATTTCTGTTTCTTGGGGGCATAACTCCTGTTTGGCTGTAAAAATAGTTGGTCGGCACTCTTCCAATACCTTCCTCTTATAGAATGTTTTGAGACTTAAAATTGTCGTTTTTCTTTTTTTATTTAATTTTGAAATCCCCGGTGATTTTCCGAAGGAAAAAGGTGAATTTGGAAATGTGCATTTTGTTTTTTTATAGATATCATATAAAAAGAATATATTTAATTTTGTGTGTGTGTCAATGCTATAATAGTCTCCGTTTCAATGTGAAATTGAAGTTTGAATTCGTTATTTCGCTCATCTTGTGCATTACGGAAGTAGCCGTTGTTTTAGTGCAAGATTTACTTTGTTTATTTTCCTTTTTTTTTGTAATTATTTTCGTCTTTAAAAGTCCAAATAGTAAAATTTATTTTGGAGCGTCATCGCTTATTATTAAGGATATGCTTAAAAATGTTTGAAAGTTGGTCGATGGTAAAGACAATTGATTATTTTGTATTAAGATATATCCTGTTTATAGATTAGATAGACTTACATATAATTACTAACTAAAAGTAGAATTAGTGACATGGACATAAATAGAAAGAAATAAACAAGTTACATTATAGGTGGTGGTCAAGGTTGCAAATGGTAATATTACCGGACCAGCTTATCGCCCAGCAAAACAAGACTAAAAGTAAAACATGCAGGTAGGAAATTGAAAATTGTGCTAGAATAGTACCAGTTCTAAAACAAACGGTTGTTCAATTTATTTGTTTTGTTGCTGATTTTAAAAATTGGGAGATTACTCTTTGGGAGGCCTTCCTACAAACAAGATTGTTTTTGTTCTGGGGGAAACAAAATGTGTAACGTTTAGCCCTTAAAATGTCATTAAACCTCTAATAGAGATTTCTAGAAAAAAAAATTGATCATTATTTTCCTTATCGTGCATGAAGAGGCGTAGTGAGGATTCTCTAATAACTTTATTTAGAAACAAACATATAGCATGTTCATATATAGTTATTTGAAACATGAGCCCAAAAATGTGTTAAAAAATCTGGAACCCATTTAGAAATAAATGTTAATATGACCTGCTCACTAATTATGCAATGATGTCTAGCAAGAGTGTAAAAAAGGCCAAATTCATGAATGTATACACAGTAAGACTCCGTAGCAAATTGACCCTTGGCCTTAAATCAAATGTATTCAGTAAAACTTTCTTCGATTTGCGTAACCTTTTAGACGTTGAATCTGTGACTGAATGAAACATTGTATATTTCATTTTAAGATATATCCGTGTGCATTGATATGCAGTCACACAATGACAGTTAATTCTGTAAATGGCACAGAAAGGCACAAAATCTTGACCGTCCGACTCACATTTGAGAAAAGTATACTAACATATTATATCCCAGCTCGCATACAGTACTCTTGGCTATCATTTTTTTGTTTTAACGTTCCTTGAGAAAGTAAATCCAGTGAAAGCGCTTCAATTGCACCGATTTATTAAGTCTGAAATAATATAGAAAAGCATATCCCCAATTGTTTTTTTTTCTTTAGATTTTGGGAGACATCTCTGTCGCCATATTGTTAGTTTTGCCGAAATGTCCGACAAAATTGTCTCAGTCAATCTCAACTTTAAAGATGATCTCACAGTCAAATTGTGTGATTAAGTTCAAATTTCTATCTTCATTTTCTGATAACTAGTAATAACAGAGTAACCAGAAATAAAACTGTTTATTGACTGTAAGTGTAGTTGGTCCATGTTGATATTTTCATTTACTGCTTTACATCGGTGGGTCCAATTAAAGGGCCAAATAACTCCCAAACTGTACCCTCTCCTTTGTCTGATTTATTAGATTTCTTTATAGTTTTGTGTGTACTTGTTTTTATTTTCTGTCAGCCCGTTGTGTCACGACTCATTTTTTATTACAATCAGCTGTCACGTATTGGTAGCTTCACTCTGTCGGAGAAAGAGGCTATTGACTCTCAAAGTATAGAGGGATGACCATGATGATGAACAACTGTTTAACGTTAAGTGGCAATAAATGCCCATTCAGTACGATGATAGTGTGATATAAATCATGAATATGTATGAACACTACGTTGTACTAGACTGACACGTTTAGCCGGATTTGTAACGTGCTAGTTCACAGGGTGAACCGTCCGCAACACCAGATGTGAACACATTGCAGTTCTTAGAAGGCAATAATTTGGACTAATACACTAGTATATAATGGTCCCAGCAGTAACATTTCGGTTGTCCTGATTATGACAGTTTTACACCTACATAACAAGATGAGTCTGAAGAGAGTCCCACTTGCTGGTTGAGTGAAAGTTTAAGAAAATAAGATGCAAACAAGGCTCTGTAAGGGAAAAAATCATTAAATATAAATACACACAAAATATTTTGTCATGTGAAGAAGCTGTCAAGTTACTTGGTATTGATATAGATTAACTGACTTAAATCTGACGAAGTAACGTGTATATAGAAAGGCGTCACAACAGCTTAATGCTCTCAAGAAAATTGGATCTAGTAAACTTACAATTTTCATATACCTTTACTTTGAGTAATTTTTTTGGTCCTTTGGCTTGTCATTTTCGTATAGAGACATTAAAAACAAAATTAAAAAAAAAGCAAGAAAGTGCATTAAGATTCGTCTACATTAATATGGCAACTACATATCCTCTGGAAAGTATTCTTGAGAACTCAAAGGTTCCAACCTTACAAGTGAGACGCATCAGGACAATGGTACTTGAGACCTACAAAGTTTTGGATAACTTGGCTTTTTATGGTTACAAAATTTGCTTCTTATTAAGTATTGAAAATATTCTTTTAGAAACAGTTACATCCTAGAAATCGGTTTTTTTTACCACCTGTTCATACGATTTCATATGGTAAGAAATCTTTTCGTTTCTCTGCTGCTTCTCTATGGAATAGTTTTCCATGGTTCGAATTAGAACAGTTTCACGCATTTTAAACATACAAATAAGGAATTGTGGTATGTTTGCCAATGAGACAACTACCTACAAGAGTCCAAAATTTGTAGATCACCGTATATGGCATTCAATAATGTGCAAAACACATACCGTATTTTCAGCTATAAAAAGCCCCGACATGACAAAATGTCAAATAATCAAACAAAAAAATCAACGTCATGATATACGACAGACTGCAACCAACGAGAACTTCTGAATAACAGCCTCCTAAGGTCTTGTTTGAAATTCCTGGAGTAATATCTGACTGCTGTTGCTTGCCTTGCTTTGCTTGCAATTAATTTCAAACATGTTCATGTTTCTCATCTACATTAGTCAAGGGTGGAGAGGAGGTGACTGGATCGTAACCCTTTCTAGCGAAGTTGCATGTTTCTCAAGAAGCTTTCATTGCATTCTTTTTTTAAAGGAGGGGGTCCTTATGCAAGCTGGCTTGTCAAATTACATCAAAGCCGTTGCACATAGTGGTGCTTGCATGATGGGCACCGACTACGGATACAGCACAGCTACATTTTGAATAATCATACACTTTAATCTGTAACCTCAGCTAAATACCGTGGTATCACGGTACAGTCTTATCTCAAATGGGACAAACATAGATGACATAAAATCCAAAGGTAACAAATCTAAACGCAATCTAAATACAACAAACCCACATATAAAAACCCAGGCATATGAGATATATATCAAATCACATTATTATAAGATAAGATATTCCAATTAAAGGGTCCACGAAGAGCAAAGGAATTTATTACAATGATTTTAATAATTGACACAATAATTTTGATAATCATATATAAATACATGTATGAATATAATCATCTCGATCAATTCTAAGATCTGAAACCAATGCAGGACCCGGCAGAGCCATTATAGCATATAAGTAAAAGCATAACAGTTATATATAATATTAACAGGTAAATATTCTTGATGGGTTACATATAAACATATCTGTACTATATTGATAGTTTTCTGAGTTCAAAACATTTATTAATATAAATTGCAATAATTTTCAATATCTCTAGGTTTTCTTGATTAAAAAGCCAATTAAACTTGGCACTTGTGTTTAACATTTCGAAATTTTTACAACTTATCAAAATTTTATCATATAACTCTTTTTTCAAGAGATTATAAAGGGGACATTGATATATAAAATGTATATATGAACCTTTTAAATTTGAGTCTGAAATCTTATCTTATATCTTATCGTATTCAAAAACTTTACATTTCCAAACCGACTAGACCCGACAACTATATTCATATCGACTGGTTTCTAATAGTCTACAAACCTTTGTGGCTTATAGGGCGCTTAATGAATTCACAACTAGTTACCAGTTGAAGCAGAAATGTAAATAGCGAAAAACGATGATCTCGTTTGGCAAAAGGTTAATTAATTCAAACTTGCTCCAATATGATCAGCAAAACTTAAGCAATATCTCATATTCATCTTTTAGTGGCCAATATAACGAGTGATCAACTTTTGAAACCTTTATTTAATCTGAGACATAATTTGTATTCGTTTATAAGGTTGGCCAGAAATTCGTGTGTCAACCGACTCTTTACGGATTTCCCATATAGCCGCAGAAGGAATAATGACCGTGTTTACCCCAACAAAATATCTCTATGTACCCACAAGCCTGCACACCTGGAAAAGTTAATCGGCATAGCAAGACATAGTTAAATGAATTTCGAATGAGGTTTTTGTCTTGGAAAATTAAAAACTTTACTTGATTTTGATAAGAATTTTTTCGTTCATACACTCATGATACAGACGGTGCCAAAATAAAGAAAGATGTTTGAGAATTTCCCCTCATGTAATAATTGTAGTGAACTGTATTGTTTGCCATAAGCTTGAAATCTACTGAGTGAATGTTACCAAGTGAATCTCAGTTTGCTTTTTTATATTACCATCTTCTGCAGGGTACAACGATTTCCAGAGAACTCCCAAAAACTCATATGACATGTATTAACCTGAGAACTGAAAGATATTAACTGAAAACTCTATTTTATATGGTGTAATACTGCTTTTATTGATAATTATGACTATAAATTCGAGATATTTGTCATTTTTGTCTCACCTGCGACGAAAGTCGCAGTATGCGAAACATAGGTATTACTATTTGTATATAGATGTAAACTATTTGTATAAAGCTTTATATTTCAGAAGGTAGAAAACCTGGATGCTTCATACCTTGTATGCAGATACCTTATGTTACGAAGTTCCTGTCTGTCATATGCCCATTGTCCTTGACCTAATTTTCTGTTTTTCAATTACCATAAGCAATGGGTCAACTATATTTGGTGTATGGAATATTCAATAATTGTAAGGTGTACATGTCTGTGTGACAGTTTTTATCTGACCTTTACCTCATTGTCATGGATCTTTGAGAATGTTAAGTTTATGTGATACTTGTAGTAAAACCTTTATCTTTAAGACTTTCAACATTAAATCAATGGTCAGTAAAACAGGCGAGACATTTCAGCGTGTGCACTCTTTGTTACTTAATGAAAGTACAATTTAACTTCAGGAATTCGATTTGTGTGTCTTGTGTGCAATTTACTTGTATAACTATATGGTGGACAAAATAACTCAAAAGTTATATGATTATTATCTCTATGTTTTAAATTTTAAACAATAAAGTTATTTATTTCAATTAGGAAAATTTAAAACTACAAAGGTACCCTGCACAAGGCACAGGCATACCTTAAGCAGTCCGCGATCAAGTTTGAATAATTACGTCTGCCAGATCCTAATGAGAACTTGCATAAAAGACACACAAATTGAATTTAAATTGAAGTTAAATTATACTTTTATTGAGTAAAAATGACATATATCTTAAAATTTTAGACTTTATTATTTTTAAAAGCAGTATTACTTCATATACGGTAAAGTTTCCAGGTACATTGTAATATCTATCGGTTCTCGGGTTCATATTGAGTTTTTTAGAGCTCTCAGGAAATCGTTGTATCGTCTTCATAATCCTGGAATTTATTTATTTTCTGAAACAAATTAAAACTTAAACTTTGTAAAATGCATTTAAATTTTTTTATTTAAACATAATTAGTTTGTATAATTAAACAAAAAATAACCTGTACATGTATATAATTTGATTAAATGAAATAAAAAAACAGTACACAATTAATCATGGTCAGTCAGCTGATGGTTTTGTATTAAATGATCTACATGTATCTTGATAATCAATGGTAACAGATCAGTAGATATTTGTAACAACACTTGGAATAATAAAATGTAAACTTCATATAATCTATAAATCAGTTGAAGGCCTCACTGTGACTTTGAGATGAAGAATAGCAATAAAAGTGCTGTTCCTTTGCTTTTTGTGTTTTTAGCTGTGCAATAAGACTGATTTTGTGTCATGGATGGGATGGATCCGATGGATACCCCACACCTTTCTTTTCTATTATCTTAAGTTTTAAAGTCAGATCATTGCAATTTAATATATTGTAATAAATTTTAGATTTTATATAGATTCTTTCTATTTGTTTTCATATTGGTGCTTTTGTATTTATATTTTGTCTTAATTCAGGTGTCAAAATAATACTGATATTTCATTTTTAATTAGGCTTGCTACAACTTATTTACAAAATGCAAACAATTACACTTATACTGTTTGAACAAAAAGTGTCAAAAATTGACACACAAAAAGTTGATTACTACTATTTTGGTGAAAACGCTGTTATTCCCCTACACCAAAAAGCCTAATTTACAGTATTCATTTAATGTTTAACTTTATAAAAGAAGCACTTACCTTACAAATTTTTAAGCAGCCTCTTGTTCAAAAATAACTCTTTAGAGGGCTATTTAATTAATAAAAAATTTTGATAACAGCAGAAAAACCTTCAGGATACATCATATTGACCTTGAACAGGCAACATTATATATATTTTTATTTTTTTTTTTTTTTTTTTCCAAATTAAAGGGCCCATTAAGAGCATAACATTAATAACAGCATGACATAGACATTACAGAGTGATTAAAGAAACATAAAATAATAGTTCAAATGCATGAGGAAAGGGTCAGTGGTCAAGGGGAGATAATTTTGCTATCTATTAGAGTATTTAACTAATTTTCTGATTTTCTAAGTTGCAGGCCTTTATCAAGGTATGCACATAAAATAAATAAGAAACTGCTATCTTCATTACTCATGATCCATGTAAAAAGATCTATTCTGTTTGAATTAACTAAACTGGGGTATTTTTTGATATAATCAGTCATATCTCTTCTGAGGTTATTGTAAAGAGGGCATTCCAGAAGAAAGTGCATTTCATTTTCAATAGAATTTGAATTACAATATAAACATATCCTCTCATGTCGAGGTAATATTTCATATTTACCACATACATTGATAAAACATTCATGTCTGCCAGTTTCTATTCTTAAACAGTGATTACTGAGCCTGTATTTTGTTAACAAATGTTTTTGGGGGTGCTTTAAATCTAAATAATTTTCATAGTCAAATGACCTCTTGAATGAAAAATAAGTGTCCAATTTGCCTTGATTCTGTAAATAAAAATCTTGCATTTTCTTCCAATCATTTTGAAAATTTAATTTGAGCTGTTTTTTCAGTAAATTTTTAAATTTAATTTTGCCTAAATTTTTACATATATTTAGGTCAATACCCAATTTTTCGCTGTAGAAAATGATATTAGAGAGCCATGAATTATTGGAGTTAGTTTGAGCTTTACTCTCAATCATTTTTAACTCAGCATAAGCACTTTTCAATAAATCAGATGGGGAATTCTCTAGTCTATGCCAATACATAAACATATGTGTTAGCAAATTTATATAAAGAGGATATCTACCCAGTTCAGACAGGACTGCTACGTTAGTGCACATCTTTGTAACACCAATAATATACGCACATGTGTGATGAAATCACATGTTTCCATAAAAAAACAACAGCAATCACATACATACATGACATTATCACATTAACATATCAAGATAGTTAAAATCTTGAAATGGCAAATGCCAAATTTGACAGAAAGAAGCCATTTTCCATTTAAAATTATTAGGAAAATATACTTACCTGTTATCGCAGGTGATATTTTTTGCAATATGATAAATGTTTGTATAGTATACAAATATTACATCTAAATAAGAGGCCATTATAATGGTCTCATTGATAGACAAGTGTCCATACTATACATTTTGTATGTATATCTTGCTGAAAATTTACTGGAATATAGTAAAATTTATATATTTATTAATTTTGTCATACACATAAATTTCAAAATGTATTAATATGCAGAAAAATGTTGATCTGATGGAAGGCATCAGGGGTGACTTCAGAAAAATTCTCTCTTAGCAAAAGTAATTTTATGTACGAACAAGATTTTTTTACCGTAATCGATGAAAAGATATATTCTTAAGTCTATTGTTGTTGACTCATCATGAACAGCTATTCCACTGTTTAAGATAAGAAATCTTTTGGAGTTACCTTTAAGTAAAACTAGGATTATTCAATACGATTTGTAGTTTCAAGTTTGATTATCGCTGTCAAATTTTGTGGTTAATTTTTTCAATTCAACTTTTCATATTAGATTACGCATTGTTGTGTTTTAAACAGATAGATAGTTGTTTGCTTAACCTCCAGTGGCAAATATTTCATAAATATTCAGGAAGATGTTTTAAACAGACACCAAGTATAAAATTAAATTTTTTTTCAAACTTTTCCTTTAAAATCTCATTTTTTTCTTATCTCATATATTGTGTATAACAGATTTGACTCACGCAGAGCTCTTTGTCTCATTTTCTACTAATTTCATATTGTGTACACACTTTTTTCCATAAGGTCTTAAGGAGTTGCTTTCTATATTGATTGACTATTTTGTTATGCATGTTTTATTATTTTCAGATTGTATACAAAATATACATACTATAGGATAGTGTATAAGTGAGTGTTTTACACATAAATACACATAGTATTACACAGCAACAAGCATTTCATCTTTAATTCAAAGTAAAAACAATTTTATATGATGATCATTTGGGGCAGTTTTATACTGTTTAAATAAGCTTTATATATTTGCCAAAAACTAAACATGTATACATGGAGGATGCCATTTGACCACAGTTGGAATCCTTATGTGTTGAAGAATGGAATCCCTATTTGAATATTAATAATGATAGACGTAAACAGGATTGTTCAATGAAATATGATTTCAAAGTTAAACATATGAATATGGGTCACAAATTTAGATATTTTAATAGAATTCTAAACCTTTAGTTATCAGTGAATAAACAAATGGATATGATTTACCTATTGAGATTTGTTAATGGGACGAAATAAAGAGCAATAAAACAAAATAAGAAATAACTTTTAATTGTGATAATAGCTTATCGGTATATATCTTTTGTGTCCCCCACAAAATGCATTGGGAGGGACATACAAATACAGGGAGTTTGTCTGTCTGGTCTTGTAAATACTCTCAAGTGTACAATTCATGCCTGATTTTTATGAAATTTTTCTCATAGGTTTATATCAGCAATGTCTTGGACAATTTTGTAAATCAGTGCTGATCAACTATTTTGAAAGAGTTATGTCCCTTGGAAATATAATTTCTACAGAAAATTGCTGTGTACATGTAAATGCCTTCATGTGTACAATTCTTGCCAGATATATATGAAATTAATTTCAAAGGTTAACATCAGCAATCATGGATAATTTCGAAAATCATTGCTAATCAACAATGTTTAAAAGATTTATGGCCCTTGGAAATGCTAATCATTGCTAATTATATAGAAAATTTTGTTGTAAGTGCTTTTAAGCCTACAATTCTTGTAGGATTGTTGAGGAAATTTATATTGAAAATTTATATCAGCATTGTCTGAAACAAGTTCGAAATTCAGTGCTGATTAATTATTTTTACAGGAGTTATGTTCCATAGAATTGTAAATTCTACAGAAAAATTTAATTGTAAGTGCTTTCAAGTGTACAATTCTTGCTAGATATTTATAAATATGATATCAAAGGTTTATATCATCAATGTCTTAGACAAGTTTCAAAATCAGTTCCAAACAATCATTTAAAAAAAAATTATGCCCCTTTGAAATATTAATTATATAGAAATTATATTGTAAGCACTCTTAGACCTACATTTCTTGTAGGAATCCTACATGTGATTCTTCCAGCTGGTGTCAAAATCCACATACTTTTAAGCCCTGTTCTGTCCCTCACTTTAATAATTCAATTCCAAGGGTTGTTATAAAATTTATATCAAATGTTTTATATCAGCAATGTCTTGTTAAAGGTAAAAAAACAGTGATGATCTATTATTTTTACAGGAGTTATGTCTCTTTGAACTGTAATTTGTATTGAACATTGCATTGTAAGCACCCCAAAACCTACATTTCTTGTTGAATTTTGTGAAGTTCATATAAAAGGCTTATATCAGCAAGGTATTGGAAGAGTGCTGACCAACTATTTTTACAGCCAATACAGGAGTTATGCCCCCGGAAACAAATGTATGAAAAATAACATTGTTATCGATCTCGTGTACATTTTTTGCACGGTGGCACGTCTGTGTATACCTTCATATAGGAAGAGACCTTTAATGATTTTACAACATATTTATAAAAAGTTTAAAAGAATCTTCTCATGTTCAGTGTTTTATAACTTAGTACAGATGCCTGACAGGTGGAGAAGGGCTGATGTATAAAGGTATGAAATAAAACATGGAGGAAATTAAATGTTAAGAAACCAATAGGACACATATCTGACAAAGCAATATTTTAGGGGAAAAAATTGGAGAAACAGCTGTTTGAAACATATAGATAACTTCTCTTAAAGTCTCATCCCAGGCCAATTCAGGTTGTTACATTCCCCTCCAGGGCAAGTAATTGTAATGTTTTATATAATTTTCTGATTTTTGATTTCCCCCCACACACCTTTTCCTGGATCTGCCACCTGGCCACTGCCACCTGGCCACTGCCACTGCTTTTCCCTATGATTCTGAGTATGAACCCTGATATATACATGATATGTATCAACTTCTGAAATGAATGGTCTTTACTTTGATAATGATGAAAAATTCTCTCTTCTAGAAAAAAAAATATATACATGTACATGTTAACATAGTTATAAATTGGGGTTTGGGGGCATGATCACATTTTTTAAATACCAATTTGACAAGATATTGATTTTGATGTAAGAAATGCTTGTTGTGATATATTTTTCTATATATTTATATATTTTTCTGACGCATGCTTAATCACAATCAGTACCATTTAGTACTCAATTTTATTTTGATTTTGACAAATGATTCTCACTCTTTAATAGCAACAGAAAACATAAATTGACATTTTTTAGAAAAAAAACTAAAATGGTATTGGTTTTAAATAGAATAACAGCTAAAGTTATGTTTTTGATTTGATATGTAGAGTTCTTAAGATATTTAGTTTTGCTTGATTTTATGTTCAGATTTTAGATGTTAATTACCTAATTGAATATCCATATATATTTATTTTTGGATATAATTCCCCTGCCATTTTAATTTCAGCTCAACAAAGCTGAGGGTCTAATGGAGTATCATTAGTCACCTTAGTTTGCATATCCATAGCCATTTATCAGAAACCTATTAACATATGCATACAGTCATATAATTCAGTATACATTTGCATCTTGCATTTTGGAACTCAACCAAATGCTATAAGAAATATATACTTTACAGCTAATTTGATTTTTTTTAAATTCACATCGTTTTGACTCTTGTGAATAATTGTTTTATTGGCAATCATACCATATTTCTGTATTCCTATTTTTATAAAGTTTTAAAACTTCATTACCTAAAAGATGTGTCTAGGGGAGTACCGGTAGGTTTTGTTTATTAAAAAGATGGTCACTCTTATTTTTTTAGCTTCAATGAGTTAAATTTTGTTTTATACTTTTGAGTTCTTTTTTCCCCAAGACTGTTTAAAAAACCACCTGCAAAAAGTAGGAAGTCTGACCTATATTGTATGCTTCGTTTATTCTGTATTAAGGTTAATGTCCAAGTTCTATTAAAGTATATATGTACATCACATTTTATTCTTTTTCACTTTGATAATTATATCATTTATGAATATTTTATACAGTTTATCAAGCCAATTTTAGACAAGTGAATTTCATAATGGTATATAACCTGCTTGTATGTCAAGTTTTATCAAACATTTATCATACATGATTAATATTCTTATTTAGCTTTTGATGTAGCCAGAGATATATAAAAATGTCTCTGATGTAAGCTTGCATCTTTTTCAAATACTTTTTTCTAAAGCCTTATATAACCAAAGACAGTATAACAATGGTATTAAACTGTATGCATTGCAAATGGTACAGATTTTCTATCAGTTACATATAAATATATGTATCAATGTTAAGTTGAAAAAAATCATTTATTGCAAGTTTTCCAAAATATGCATAGTCTATAATTTTAAAAAAGAAAATGTTTTTTTCTGTCTATGATTAAGTTGTAATTAAACAAATATTGTTGTCACGGTTATACTGCATGTTGTCATGGTTATACTGCATGTTGCCACATTACCTGATAACACTGGTAAAATCTGTAACCAGAGTGGAGTGGTTGTCTTTTGGTTTTTAAGCTTGCCTGTCCCAAAGGGCCAAGTATTCTTTTTTTTTCATCACTTATCGTCCTTCGTCTTTGTCATCGTCCCTTAACTTTTACAAAAGTCGGAATTATTGTTGGTGTATTCAGGTTTAAAGATGTGTCCTATGACCCTGCCTGCCAACCAACAAGGCTGACAGGGCTTAAAATGAGGGGGTGGACAGGGTTAAGGGAACATGGGAATGAGGGGGCGGAAAGCAGGAGGGGAGGGGGAGTAAAAATTAGGATATTCTGGATTTTTTTTTTAATAGGAGTAAAAGGGAGAGGAAAGCAGGAGTTGGGGGTAGGGAAGTGGGAATCAGGGACCCCCTGTCCACCCCCTCTAAAATAGAACATAGGAACATAGGGGTAAAATGCAAGTTTTGTCTATTATATTGAGAAACTGCTATAAATATAGAAAATTTGAGAGGGGCAGATATGTTTAGAATGTTGAGATCTACCCACTGTCGATTAACTGTCAGATAACTTATAGCTATAGCCCTTGAATGGCAAATTTTACCAATTTTTTTCTTCTTTATTTTTTCACATTATCTTGAAAACCATAATAGAGTTAAACTTTAAAGATAAAAAATGTTCAGCAAGACAATACCTACAAATAAGTCTAATGGCCGAAATCATCAGTTGACTCCTTATGAGAGTTATAGCACTTTAATGTCAATGTTAACCATTTTATTTTATGTTTTGCCTATTATCTTGAAAACTATAAGATAGACACTATAAATAGCAAAAATGATCAGCAAGAGGAGATCTACAAATGTGTCAAATTTTGAGGAAATTATTAGTAGACATTTAATAAGAGTTATTGCCCTTAAATGGAGAAGTTTTTTTTTAACCCTTTTTTTGTGTTTTTGCCAAAAACTAAAGAAGATAGGGAGAAACTGTAAACAGAAAAAAATATCAGCATTACAGGATCAACAAACAAAGGGATTTTTGTCAGGAATTATATTCTAGTTTACAATGTTGGAGAGTGTCCTTTGTTGAAAATACACATAGACCTAGGTGAGCTACACCGGCTCTTTAGAGCCTCTAGTTTTAATTGGTGTAGTTGCTGTGTCATTTAGGTATACTCTACATCTCATTTCGTTCATACAGAACAGTAACTTGTATTTGTGGAAAACATGCTAATTGCTTTACTTAATTAGCCAACAGATACTTATTGTCAATACATTTACTGAGACTTTATTTCAGCGAAAATTATTTTTTTTGCTTACTCAAAGAGGAGTCTGGATTAGATAATTTTATTCAAACTTGCTGTGTTAGTGAGTATTTGTATAACATGGATGCTTATCTAATTCATATACCAACCTCAAAATAAAATTTTTGTTGACATTATATTTTGAACAGCATTTTATGTCAAGTTTGTCAAATATTTTTTTTCTTTGTTTTACAGAAAAAGAATAAAAGAATGGACAATATTGTGTGGTTTGTTGATAGGAATAGGACTTCTCCTTATGTACAGTATGAGAACCCCTACAACAAGTACTGGAACCACAGTTCAAGTAGCAAGTTTGAGGAAAAATGAAGGAGCTGCTACTGTTACCTTCTGGGGAAGAACAGGGAACCATATGTTTGAATATTCCACATTAATAGGCATTGCTAAGCGTAATAATGTAACTCCAGTGTTAGTTGAAGGTACAGGTTTATGGGATTGTTTTGATTTACCTATAAAAATGGGTAAAAAGTCTGACTTTGAAGATAGTAGAATATTGACAGAATACAGACCGGGTTATTATACTCCAAGAGTTACTAAACTGGATCCTAAAGAAAAATCCTATATACAGGGATATCTACAGTCTTTTAAATACTTTGAAGATGTAAAATCTGAATTATTACATAAACATTTTATATTTAAACCTCAGTACGCAAATAAAGCAAAAGAATTCATAGCAGATGTACGTAAAAAACTCAACAAAGAGCGGGCAGTGACTATTGGAGTGCATGTAAGACGAGGTGACCTAGTGAGACAAAATAGAAAAGGGTATGCTATACCACAGATTCCTTACTTTTATAGGGCTATGAACTACTTCAGGAGAAAGTACAATGATGTCCTATTTATCATATGTACAAATGATTATCATTGGAGCATGGATAATTTAGATGATGGACCAGACATATATTATTCCCCATATTACTCTGCCAGTTTGAATGGTTATTTAGATCTCGCCATTTTGGGCAGTATGGATCACATGATCATGTCAGCTGGATCATTTTCATGGTGGGCAGGCTACCTTACTGGTGGCACTGTAATCTATTTCCATGGTTACCCAAGAGAAAACACAGTCATGGGAAACACCACAAACAAACCAGATTATTATCCGCCTAACTGGGTACCATTATAAACATTCCTTCTGAAGAAAAATCTTGCCTGTAAGTTTGTGCCATTCTTGTTGAACTATACCTGTAGTACTTGTATTGGTGGATGAGAGAACACAGGATAAACAATCTACAACATTAAAGGTTGTAACATACAACATTTTAGAGATATACACTTCAGATTCATCTATATAAAACATGACACACAGCAAATGATCACTAAGAGCTTAACAGTAAAAAAAGGAACCAGAAGAAAAGTAGAAACTATTTTAACTTTATTTACATCATGTATGTATGGTACAATGTATCTGTTTTGGCTTGATTAATTAATATTATGTTAATCGTATATACAAATGATTATCATTGGAGCATGGAGATTAATTTAGGGGAAGAGTTACTCTAAGCTCATCTGCCCATACAGTTAATATTTTTGCATTATAAATTAAAGACAAATGTCCAGGCCCATATACGGGTTATTTTGAAGGCATGATGTAGGGGGGAGGGTGTATTTAGAGTCTTGATGCTCTGACTTTAATAGTACAAGTTCAATCTGAATCTCTACTTCAATAGTCTTTAATTGTATTTATTTGTTAGCATGTTTTGGCCATTATCTTGAAAATTATTAAAGTGACAGAGAAACTATGCAGCAAAAATTTAAGCAACAGAACTGAAATTGTTGATTGACTAATTAGAGGAGTTCATTAATAATTTGTTTATTTTTTTTATCAATAAATGAATTTTGGTGTTTTTTGCAATTATCTTGAAAACTATAAAAGATAAAGAATAAGTGTTTATACATGTATATAATAAAATAAATACTCAGGAAATCAAGATCTACAAATAAATCATTTAACAGAAATAGAGGATTGACTCCTTACAGGAGTAGCTTTAAAATGGCAATTTTCCCGAATTTTTTGCCTTTTAAGCTTTTTTCTTGAAAAGTATAATATAGAGAAAATACTTTTTACAAAAAGTGATCAGAAAAATAAGATCTACAAATAAGTCAACAAAAATGAAATTGGCAAGTGAGGAGAGCTATTGCTGATTTATTGCCTATTTTGACTGTTATCTTGAAAATCATATTTGATTCAGAGAAATTGTAAAACAGAAAAAAACGATTAGCAAGACAAGAACTACAATGAATCCCAAGTGATTTTAAATGTTGACTGAGTAGACCTGTGTCACACCTGATCACAATAACTTGGTGTGTAAAAGATGGCTACGATTCATGCTAATGATTTTAATGTCACATATTTTTACCAGGTGAGCAATTAAGGCACCTGGGAACCTCTAGTTTTAAAAAAATTCTGCCAACAATTTCACATTTACATGTAAATTGAGCAGAGCAAATGAAATAAAACTTAAAATGGTGCTACTATTGGTATGTATATACTTTCATAATATTGTACTTGTATTATTTTTACTTTTAATATTGATATCATAGAAAGAAAATAATTTTGTTATTAAATGTTTTTATTTTATTTTTTCAAACCTAAAATTTGTGCACTTGTTTTTATTCTCTGGTTAAACTATTGTTATGATTATTTTTGTTTTGTTCAAATTCACCAAAGCATTTGAAATTGAAAAAGTGTAAAACAAATTTAATTTTGTCATTGACTTTGATGATTGTGGTTCAAGGTTCAATTGAATAGTAGAAATTAGAATCCAATGATTTTGTGTTCTTTTTAACAAAAGAGAAGTATTTGTGTTTATTTGTTTACATTCTGAATTTTATTATGAACTTTTCAGAAAAAGTAACTCTTGTATAATAAAGGTTTTTCCGTCAATAATCCTTCTGAAGAAAGAATGTCATACTTTCATGAACACTTAAGATTATACTAGTAGTCTTCATCTTGTAAAGTTCAGATGCACAGCGTTGATTTCATTTTGCTTTTTCACCAATTTCACCAAGGATGTAACTCATTGACATTCATTAGTTATAAACTATGGAATGAATTCAGTTTATAAATGGGTTACTCTTGAATTTAAAGATAAGAATTCATATTTACACTCTTGTGTTCGGCCATGCTTATTTTAAATTTTATCTAAAACTAAGGGCCATATTGAAGTCACATTCAACCTACTCCTTTGATCAAGGTAGGAAACAGTAAAATGAACCTTCATATTTTCAGTTGTAATGGTTAATGTGATGTAGTAAATAAATTGTTTTTTGTGTCACATTGTCTTAAATCCTTATCAAACTTATATTATCAGGACATCCATTGGCCATCATATCATATTATATGCACAGTACTTGCCAAAATTGATAATGTTTCTTATTGGTCTGCTAACATGAATCTCTTTGACTCTTATTCTAAGTTTGTTTGACTGCAACATGGTGCTCGGCTATACTCAGATTAATGTATGTATATTAGTTTTTTAAGTTGATTTTAGTATTTGTTCAGGATGAATCATGATTTAATTTTTTTATGATAAAATCATGATCATTATCAAAGTTATGAATGTGTATTAAAGTGTAGCTAAATTATTATATATGTGTGTTGTTAATAGTGATACATGTTTTACAATGTCTACAATGCCTTCACCATGGCATATGTCATTGTCCATAAAATTTCTATATTTCCATTATCTTTTCTGAAAACACATATCTAGTGTCAAGCAACTTTGAAGGAATGATGCATGAAGATCAACCTAATTGTGTTCTAATCAAATGCCAAAGGCAATATTTGGTTCTGATCAGCCATTTTTATAGGACCGCAAAAATTAAAAATGGTTTGGTCGTATATTGGTATCACATTGTCGTCAGCGTCGTCCGAAAACAGATGGTTTCCGGATAATAACTTTAGTATAAGAAAATAGAAATCAATAAAATTTTAACACAAGGTTTATAACCACAAAAGGAAGATTGGGATTGATTTTGGGGGTTATGGTTCCAAAGGTTTAGGAATTAGGGGCCAAAAAAGGGGCCCAAATAAGCATTTTTGCAGTTTCCAGACAATAACTTGTGTTTAAGTGTATGAATCTTTCTGAAATTATACCACAAGTTTCCATACATCAAAGGGATGGTTATGGGGGGTTATGGCTCAAACCATTTAGCAATTAGAGGCAAAAAAGGGGGAAAAACATGGGTTTTTATGGTTAAAGGACAATTTAGACAATTTAAAAGCAGTGTAAGGGAGGTAATCCAATCCATTTAAAGAATACTGTTGTATATATGTTTGATTACCTCCCTTACACTGCTTGTAAATTATGTATTAAGAAATGATGATTGTCTTGAAATGATTAGCTGTAAATTTATTTTTAGAAGTTACTATTAATTAATATTAATTTTAACCATGACCGTATGTCATTTTATATTTTAATATTTTATGATGTATTTAAATGAGTAGTTATGGTTGCAAACTCCATTAGAAATTTGAATTGAGATTATTTTTGGAATAAGGGAAAGGGGGAGTTTTAAAAAAATGTGGGGGGGGGGGGGGCTTTTTCTCATTGCAGATTTCAGAAATTAAAAAGAAAATTTCTTCAAATTTTTTTTTTTTTTTTTTTTGGGGGGGGGGTTAATATTCAACAGCATAGTGTATTGCACAAAAGCAAAAAATTGAATATAAATTCAAATCATATAACCAATTTGAAGTTCTTTGACTACAGTTATTCTGTATCAGAAACCTATTATGTGTCAAAAATTTAATTACAATCCAAATTCAGACCTGTATCAAGCGTGAATATTGTGTCCATTTTGACCCCAACTTTTCAGGGTTGGACATCTGCAGTCGTATCCAGCTGCGCTCAGCGAAGCAATTTATTCTTTAATGTCCTCCTCCGAAAATTACAAGGGAAAAGCTTTAGAATTTTACGAGAATAGATGATTGGAAGATCCATTTTAAGGGGTAGAGTCAGATGAGTGATTTGGGGCTCCTTCGAGCCTCTAGTTTAAATTGTGCTATAGAAAAGAGGAAAATAATTATGTCTCATAGAAAATATTTTAGTACAGTCATACATGGCAAAGTGGTAATTCTGTCCAGGAAAATGATCTGATCAAAGTACATATATTCTCTACGTTTGTAAATATTTGAATAAAAAATATCTTTAAATTTCTATGTCAGTAAATATTTGAATGGAAGACATAGTTCTATTTTTTCCTGGAAGCATAATGAACATTTATTTTCTTTTTTTTGCATAAAAGATGTTTAGCTTAATTTTAAAAATGGTATATTATTTCATTTTATAATATGGATCTTTACATTACAAGGTGCAAAACTTGACTTTACTCTTGCTGTATTTTATACATTGGAATATCTTTATGAATGTGTATCTCTTTTCCTGTGCAATGTTTATTGCAATTTTTATTTAATAAATTTTTCAATGTATTTTTGATTTATTTAACTTAAACTTGACAACTCTCTTTCATTTATTAACTGTAATCCGTCAAACATGATAACTCGGGTAAAAATGGCCTAAAACAAAAGATGCTTTGCATAAAGACCCCATGAAGATCTTATCATTGCACAAGGAATTGCTTCTCCTACTGTTAATAAAGTCTTTACTATATTTTTATTGGATGCATACAGATTGAAATTTTAGTCTTCGAAAACATGGTTTATTTTTTTTTAAAGTTGGATATGGCTTTGAATTGGCTTTCAGAAGCTGCAAGCACCTTGTGTTTTGTCATTTTTTTAAAAGTTTTATTTTTTTTTGTGCTTAGTGTCGATCTAGTAAGTCAAGCCTTGACCATCTGCTTTTTGTCTTGCCTGCAACAAAAGGTGCAAAGTACAAGAAATTATGAGGGATAACGATCCTGTGGCAGCATAAACTGTTTGTACAAAGACTATGTTGAACACATCTATCCCAACTTAAAATAAAGGATACCAGAGATATAGGAAAGTTTGCCTCATATCTTACATCTAGAAATTGACACACAGTTCATTTGAACTTTGGTGGATAGTTGACTCGTTGGAAATCATACTACATCTCCTTATTTTTTATTTAGCTGAGAACAAAACTGATAAAAGGGATGATTTTAGCTTCAAAGTTGTGAGCTCTCCCTTTCTATGTAGCACATTCCAGTTGTGTCTGCATATGGAGGTTGATACAATAATCAAAATTTTGCGTTTCCCATCATGAGTTACTGCTTACAAAGAAGCTATTGAATCAGTGGTAAAATTGAAGTCCCCCTTGAAATATTTACTGGCCCCATCACCACTTGGTTGACCGTTATGAATATCTGTGTGTTCCAATTGTCGTACCACAAGTCCATCCTCTTTACCTTGATTGAGACATCACTGAATGAGACTTATTATCGAATCTTCACTTTACATGAACAACATGACAGGTGCGATTAGTGTAGCAGGATCTTCTGACCCTTTAAGAGCGCCGGAGATCATCCCAAGTTTATGGTGTGTTTGTATGCAGTATTTTGTTGGCATGTTTGATTTCCTTTGTCAGTCGTATTTTGCCACTGTATTGTCAGTTTTTGTCTCGCCTGTGACGAAAGTCGCAGAAAGTGAGACATAGGTATTACTATCCGGCGGCGGCAGCGGCGACGGCGGCGTAAACTATTTGTATAAAGCTTTTTATTTCAGAAGGTAGAAGACCTGGATGCTTCATACTTTGTATGCAGATACCTTATGCTACGAACTTTCCGTCTGTCATATGTCCAATGTCCTTGACCTTATTTTCATGGTTCAGCGACTGCTTGAAAAAAAAGTTTAGTTTTTTTGTTATGTAAATTTCTCACTTATTATGATTAATAGGATAACTATATTTGGTATATGGGTTCCTTGCAACGTCTACATGTCCATCAGACAGGGTTCACCTGACCTCAGCCTCATTTCATGGATCAGTGATCAAGGTTAAAGTTACGTGATTAGGTCCGTTTCTCAGATACTACAAGCAGTAGGTCAGCTATATGTGGTGTATGGAATGATTATAAGGGATACATGTCAGTCTGGCAGGTTTCTTCTGACCTTTACCTCATTTTCACGGTTCATTGGTCAATATTAAGTTTTTGTGTTTTGGTCTGTTTTTCTAATACTATAAGCCATTGGTCAACTATATTTGGTGTATGGAATGATTGTAAGGTGTACATGTCTGTCTGGCAGGTGTCATCTGACCTTGACCTCATTTTCATGGTTCAGTGGTTATAGTTAATTTTTTGTGTTTTGGTCTGTTTTTCTTATACTGTATGCAATAGGTCTACTATATTTGGTGTATGGAATGATTGTAAGGTGTACATGTCTAGCTGGCAGGTGTCATCTGACCTTGACCTCATTTTCATGGTTCAGTGGTCAAAGTTAAGTTTTTGAGTTTTGGTCTTTTTTTCTAATACTGCATGCAATAGGTCTACTATATTTGGTGTATGGAAATATTTTATAATCAATATGTCAGTCACGCAGGTTTTAATTGACCTTGACCTCATTTTCAAGGTTCATTGCTCAGTGTTAAGTTTTTGTGTTTTGGTCTGTTTTTCTTAAACTATAAGCAATAGGTCAACTATATTTGTTGTATGGAAGAATTGTTATCTGTACATGCCTGACTAGCATGGTTCATCTGAACTTGACCTCATTTTCATGGTTCATTGGTCAATGTTTAGTTTACTTGGTTAATGTTAAGTTTATGTGACAGTTGTACTAAAGCTTTATATTCAGGACTATCAACATAATATCAATGATTAGTAAAGAAGGCGAGACATTTCAGCGTGTGCACTCTTGTTATTTAACTTGTGAGTTTTTAATGTCCCCTTGATCTTCCACCTATTTTTTTGTTAGTTTTTAGCATAAGTTGGTTTTCTCTTTTGAATTGTTTCACATTTTGTCATGCAAGGGCTCTTTATAGCATACTGAACGGTATGGGTTTTGGTGACTGTTCTCTAGACCCTACAGTGCTCTATAGTTGTTTACACTTTCTACCTTGGGTGGATTGTCTCCCTATTTTAATACGCCCGTTTACGGGACGTATTATGGTATACCGTTGTCCGTCCGTCTATCCGTCCGTCGTCAACATGTCGGACAATAACTCAAAAACGCTTTTTTGCATGAAACTTTAATGAATTGTTTATATTTATTGACGTGAGCTCCCTTTCGTTTTTTATAAATTTTAGATTTTACGTTTCCGAGTTATGGGGTTTTATTCATTTAAAAAGGGGGATTTTCAAGTTTTCGGACAATAACTCAAAAACAGTTTCACCAATTTGCAAGAAACTTTGGTGAATTGTTAATATCTATTCAATTTTTATAAATTTTAGATTTTACGTTTCCGAGTAATGGGGTTTTATTCGTTAAAAAAGTTTTCGGACAATAACTCAAAAATGCTTTCAGCAGTTTTCATGAAACTTTGGTGAATTGATTATATCTTTTGACGTAAGCTACCTTTCGATTTTTAAAAACTTTAGATTTTACGTTTCCGAGTTATGCGGTTTTATTCATTAAAAAAAGGGGGATTTTCCAGTTTTCGCACAATTTCAGCAGTCTTCGTGAAACTTTGTCGAATTGTTTATATCTTTTGACGTAAGCTCCTTTCTATTTTTATAAATT